GACATTAGAGGACCTTGGCTAGCCCTTTCTCTTTTTCCAACTCATGATATGAGCAATTTCCTCCCCCATAGGGTCCCCACCATTGCCATCTACCTTTTCTCTTTATAAGTTAATATTCTCAGATATTTCATTATGGTAATGTGAAGGTGACTAACACAGGGACTCAATGGACCCCTTCCTGCAGAGGTTGTTGGACACTAAGATGTGAATCTGGAGTTCATGGTGGCTATCTTGCCATAATTCAGGGAGAAGCCAGAAGGAATGAGACAATTTTTAGTATAAATCATGCCTGAAGTCACACTACCCTTATATTTGGTGTTATATACATAAGCAAACTTTTTTTTTCAATTTAAAGACTGATGGAATAGATTTTTTCTGCCTTTTTGCACTAAAATGAATGACCCAGACTCTAAGCAGATACATGGCAGAGTAAAAGTTAAACTCAGATTCCTGTTTTAATCCCCTTTCATCACAGTGTCTGGATTTAATATTTAGTTACTTCCAAGGAACTTAAACTAGAATAAAATCGAGTCACAGAAGTTGCCTTAGGTTAAGTCCGTCAGAAACACACACCGAGTCAAAGATTTATGTGCAAATAATTTATAAAGGACACATTGCTAGAGTAACTGACAGGAGTTGTGGGAGTAGAACATGAACAGAGAAGAAACCAAGCAAAGCTGAAATTTCCAGTAAAGTTCCAACTTCAATCTGATGCCCAAGGTTGTTGTGGGGTGTACGTTTCTTACTACTGCAATTTGTCCTGCTTCCACATGGGGTGTTGGGCTTCCTGATTATGGACCAGTCAGCCACGGACTAGTGGACAATCCTGGGTGGAGGGAATCTGTGCTCCCAGTATCTATCTGCTCTTCTCAAGTCCAGGAGATGAAACAGCATGAGGAATCCAAGAAGAGTCCTCTGGAGAAGGGCCATTAGAAGCAAAACCTTGGCAGTCTACTACAGAGGTAGTCCAATTGGAGGGGTCCTTCCTGGATACATTCTGGCATAATCATCTCTTCTTGACCAAGGTCCTGAAAGTCAAAAGCATATCAATAGGTGATATAAAACTGAAGTACAGTTTGTTTCTATATCTTCATTTTGCATTGACAGAAACTTCCCCAAGTCTGTGATTTTCTCACATTTCCTTTAATTTCAGGAACCATAGGAGAGAGGTCTCAGGAGGAATCAAATATTCCTTAGACTTCTTAGATTCCAGACTGTAAAAAAAAAAGTTTCCCTTATTTAAACCACAAATTGTGTAGTATTTTGTTATAGCATCTCTAACAAACTAATACACATGTCTATCCAAATTCTTTTGTCCTTACTTTTTCAATCCAATATCCATTCCTGAGTATGTCTGAGGAGATGACTATCTGGCAGAATAACAATCTGTCCTATGCTCAGTGTTTTGTGCTTATTGAGTTAGGCATTTCAGAAACAAATTCCAGAATGAAATGATATAGTTTGTCCAGGAGGAAACATGAAATGGACTTTCATTCCACACTCCCTGGTACTATGTTCTCAGCAGTCAGGAAATTATTCTCAAGTCTATAGCACTGAGACCACAGTCATATCAGCATGAGGACCAGATGCACTAAAACTAAGATATAAGTGCATTTATTTTCAGAGCATTAGTAAAGGCTGTGATGTAGGGCAGGTTAAATCTCTCTTTAGTCTTGGGTCTAATTTTGGCTCGCCAGTTGTATAAGTGCTACTTAGGAATGCTACGTTAACAGAAGTCAAACAATCTCTGTCATATCTATCATTCTGAAAAACAAATCTAGAAAATCAAAGTCATACATTTCTTTATAACTGCCTCCCAAAGGAAACAATTTCTTAGATGATTTTTATTGGAATACCAAGTTCAACAAATAAATCCAGAGGCCAAATAAAGCTTTTCTAAAAAGAAATAGAAAACTGAGTTAAAATATTAGAACAGAGGAAACAGAATGGCTATGTGCATCTCTTTTTGAAATCCTAGTAAATTCCCTGAAGTAGACAGTGTCTCCCAGTAGGCACCCAGCATCTTTTTTGACATTCTCCACTTGAACCTCAAAGAAACATGGTAAATAAACAGGGAAAGGAACTGAAAGTCATAGAGCTAACTAGGTATCTTGCCTTGGATCAAAATGATAAATAAATAGAAGAGAAAAAGAATGTTTTAGAGCAGTTCTTATATGTAGGCATCTGATGGAAATATTCAGAAAGCTAAAAGGTTGATAATATTGAAATCAAGAACACTGTATTTAATTCACTATTTTAACGAAAACATAGTTTGTTATTCAATAAAACTTTAAGTTGTATTCCTCATAATTTATTAACAATAATCAAAGACAAGAAGCCAAAGGCAGGAATGGAAGCAAATTTATTAAAGATAGGTCACCCTTGAGGATATGCAAGGACAAACAGTTGGAGTCTGCCCTTTGGATTCACAGGCGATTTAGCTTTTGTGATCTCTTCAGGGAATTAGAATGAGAAATTCACCAAGCAATTCTTTCCCATTATTTATTCAGCCAGAAAAACGTCAAACAATCTACAGATAGCGGAAGGTCTGTGTGAGTTGGAGGTACATATCAAGGTAGGAAACCACCCTAACTGTGATGGTCATGGTCTGTGTCAATGTGGATAGGCTGCAGTCACCAGTTAAGACATCAAACATCGATGTACTTTTACTGTGGAGGTATTTTGTAGGTATGACTAAAACTGCTGATCAATTGACTTTAACTTTAGAAGATTATTCTAGATGAACTGGGTGGACCTGATTCAGTAACTGAAAGACTTTAAGAACAGAACTGAGTACCCTAAGGAAGAAATCTCACCTGGGGACAGCAGGTTGCATGCCTGCAAAAAGCTGCAGCCTACCTTTCCGGATGGGCTATTGTGTTGATTTCAGAAGTGACGACCCAGCATCCACAATAATCTAAGCCAATTCACATACACAGTTGTTTCTCCATGTCTGTGTATTCTGCATCTGAGGATTCAAACAACCACAGATAAAAAATATTTAGAAAAAAGTTTGTCTTTACTAAACACATATTGGCATTTCTCTTGTCATTATACCTCCCAAAATACAGTGTTACAACTCCTTACATAGCAGATACATGGTGTTAGGTATTATGAGTAATCTAGAGGTTTTTAGATGTTTTTTAGAGTATGTATGAGGATGTATATAGGTAGTAAGGAAATACCTACAATATTTTATATTAGATAATTGTGCATCCAAAAATTTTGGTATTCATTGGGGATGGGGGACTTGAGCCAATCCCCTGCAAATATCAAGGAACAACTATATGTAACTGCATGTGTACAAGTGTGTGTGTGTATGTATATATATGTTTTCTATAACTCATATATACATAAATATGCATGTATATAGATATACAGGTCCCTTCTGGTTCTGCTTCATTACTTGAATTCTGTATACTAATTATTTGAACAATGAAAATTCAAAATAATTGTTAACTAAGAAAGACGTTATTGGCTAGGTGACTGACAGTGCAAAACAGAACTCAGAGCTATCACAGAGTTAAAAATTAAGTTTTAATAATTATTAAAATTAGAAATTAAGTTGTAATAATTTTAAAACCAAAGACAGATCCCAAGGGCCTTGTAAGGGCTTTACTAGAGCACTCTGGAAAAACTAGAGGACTAGTTGACTGATTCTAGTGTTTCTGAGTATATACTGTGAAACTTACTCACAGGAAAAAAAAAACTGAATTGCCTTTAGTTGCTGCTGACTGGAGTGAAGAAGCAAGGACAGACGATGCTCATGTGAAGGACAGTGAACAGGTAGGAAATCAAAGGAGAATTGCCGCACTGTCTCCTACACGCTTCCGTTTTCCTTCTAGTGCTCCCAATATTGAAACCTAGAAAGAGAATGCAGAGGGCAAAAATAAAGTGCGGAATCCCTGTCCCAGCAAAGCAAGGTCACTTAGAGTACAGAGGGCCTGGTTTCCCACTGAAAGACAAGAGCTTAGTTATTGGAACAGAGTTCTGTGTTTCTCAGAACATATACTTTTGGCAAAATAGCTTTCCAAAGTGAAACAAACCAACAAAAAGCACACAATTGGATATTTCTGTAGCTTACCATTTCTTGAGTTTCCTATTTTACTAGATAGAGTTAAATTCCCTTCTTTTTAAAAAAGGAGGCACTTAGGGTGTGGGAGTAGGATGCCGGGGTTGTGACTCAACTCTATTGCGTTCGCCTAGGCCGAGAGAGGCCCTGGGTTCGATCTGCAGCACTGCCGAAAAATAAATAAAATAAAGGTATTGTGTCTAACTACAACTAAAAATAAATTTTAAAAAATATGGAGGCGCTTAAACCCTCTTCTGCTTAACAATTCACTCTACATCCAAGATCTTATAAATGAATTTTTATTGTGATGCACTTAAATATCAACAATAATCTCTCTAATTTCCAAAATATTTTTTATAATACTCAATGAAGCCAATTACATGCTTTGAATATGGGTTAGAACTGAAGACAGAATACAATTCAATGCAGTCTACTTAATTTTCCCTGTTTAAGGAAATGTACTGGAAATCAACACAATTTAAAGTGCTGGATATCAGAAAGTAATAAATGATAAAATTTGGACACCAACCCAGCATGAAGAGAAGAATAAGAGGGAAGTTGGGATTACAACGAAGGTTGATTTTATGTTTGTTAATTTTATTGGTTGGTTTTAAACAAAACGTGAGAAAGACAATAACAAATCTGGCAACAGGTCACTCCGATTGTTTCTCAAGTGTTGATTGTGCAAAACGTGTGTCTTCTGCTCTCACCTTAGAGAACAGCCCAAAGTTTCTCGAAAATGGCATGTGTGGGGCTGGGCTTGTGGCTCACTGGTGGAACACTCGCCTATGTGTCAGGCCCTGGGTTCGATCCTCAGCACCGCATATAAATAAATAACATAAACATTAAAAAAACCCAAACATTACAAACCTCTTGACATATCATGTTTTGAACAACCAATAAAAAATAAATAAAAAAATATAAAAAACTCATTAAAAAAAAGAAAATAGCATGTGCCATCCATTATTCCATGACTTTTCACAAGCTATGCCTTTTTCCGGGAATGCTTTTTTCCTTTACCTTTCCATGAATGACTTACTTAAACCTCCAGTCTCAATTCAGACTAGTATTAATTGGATGTATAGGCATACTTCAGAGGTATTGTTGGTTGCTCCAGAACACTACAATAAAGAATATAGTGGAATAAATTATTACACACATTTCTTTGGTTTCCCAGTGCACATTAAAGTTTTGTTTCACAGTGTATATAAAAGATATGGCTCTGTTATGTGTGTAATAGCATTATGTCTATAAACCAGTACATGTACCTTAATTTAAAAATTCATTATTTTTCAGAAAGTGGTGTTAACTCCTTGATGCAGGGCTGCTAGAAAACTTCAATCTGTAAAATAAAATAAAATATCTCAAAAATGCAATAAAGCAAAGTTCAATAAAATGAGATCTGCTTGTATAAAGGAATGAAGGATAAGCAAGGTCACCTGCAGCGGGGAATGGATGCCATAAACACACCGAATGTACAGCTTTGAAAGTTCCAAACTTCTAGCCTGATACGAAGAAAGAAACATTTGCCATTATAACATAGATTGGAATAAATCACCTAATAAAAGGAAAACCACAAACTGAAAGATGTACTTTTTTAAGAATGTTTAGGTTGCAAGAAACAAAATACATGAATTAAACTAGCTCAAATGACACAGGCAATATTTTTACCAACAAATGTAAAATCCTAAAAAGAATAGGTTTCTGGTCACTCATGATCTAGTGGTTCAACAATGTCAATCAGAATCTAGTTTTTCTTAATTTCTCCTGTGCTTTCTTCTTAAGCCTAAATTTATATACTTTTCAATTATAAGAAAGCAGTAGCAACTATAGAAGAATTATGTCTTTTCCCCCCTAATTTCCAAGAGAAAGAGCATATCTCCACTGAAGGATAATGAAGCTGCTTTTCTGAGAAACCTCTTAAAAATATTTACTAACATCTTACTCACCTGCCTATTCATCAATCAATCTCTTTGGCCCAAAGTTTCAGATGTGCCTTTTGGCTTAAGTTAATCAAGAGGTGTTACTGAAAGAGGGGTGTAGACTACATGAGGAAGGGGTTGAGAAAAAGAATAAAACAACCCAATGGCTAGGGAGGCTACGGTAGGAGGATCACAAGTTCAAAGCCAGCCCCTGTAACTTAGTAAGGCCTTAAGCACCTTGGCAAATAAAACAAAGGGCTAGAGATGTAGCTCAGTGGCTAAGGGTCCCTTGGTTCAATCCCTGGCACCAAATTTAAAAAAAAACTTCGTAAACAGAGAAGTGAGACCATAGAAGATTTCCTAAAAAGGAGGAGACTGGGTCATAGTATTGAAGTTTCTAAATGTCACTATTTGAAGTTTCTTGATAACTTCATGGCTAGCATAGGTCCTTTAAAAAGCAGATTGTGAGAATATCTGATCTGAATAGAAGATAATAAAATTAATTTCAGATCTCAGATACATTGATTTTAAGATTATGATAGGGCAGAGCCTAAACAGGAAATTAGTACAGGGAACTGAAGCCCAGGAAAATAAGTGAGATCGAAGACACACTTGTGACAGATTGGAAGTTGAAGTTAATATAGCTGATATCCTGTAGAAACTATCAAAGCAACAGATTCCACCAACTTCTTTCAGGGTGGATCTTGTTATAGTTCCTGATCACTCAAATAAAGTGCTTCCATCTAATCAGGGCAGTGTGCTAGGAAATGAAATTGCCTTGGTGGAATTGATTTTGCATGAGCAGTTTTTAATTTTTTTTTCACAAAAAACAAGTTTGCTTCTATAGTACTTTGTAAATATTGTGGCATCAAGTCAATGTAACTTTCTTGTGGGATTCTTACCCAAATCAGAAACCTTTTAATAATGCCTACTTATTTTATAAAACACTATATTTTATTACATTTTTTAAAAAGGTCAAATCAGGAAACAGTTAATCTGGAATGTGGAAAAATTCTGTGTTGTCTTTCTTATTAATGGTTAAGATTTACATGCTATGTAACCATCACCATGTGATGTTCTATACTAATAAACCCTTCACCTGGATTGGCTGCACTACAGATAGACCACTGACATAGGAAGAGAAGATGGAGGAATGACAAAAAGCAGCAGCTGTTCTTCAGGGTCATTCATCTGCAATTATTCATGTGAAACTGGACACGACTAGGAGATAATGAATGGATTCGTTACACATTATGCATTTAAGACTTGTCATTAAGAATTAATCAGACTCATTCTTTAATTTTATTGTATACATATGATGATCTTACATCTTATGATAAAAAAATTATGTATCGAAATCTGGTTCACAGAAGATGTTAAAATTATCATAAGGCTGATACATACCTTCATTTGGGATACCTGTGGATCTCCATCTTACCTTTTGAAGACTTCAGATTATTTCCTCTGCCATGATATTATGAACTTAAGATTGGTCTGTCTCATCCCAGCCTTGTACATTCTAGTGGAAATCTTTTTTATTAGAGGTTTTGTAAAAGTTCTGTATCTCAATCCTTTATCACTTTCATTTTGTTCTTCACTGATACAGTCATAGAGTGGTAGTCATGCTTTGAATCTAACTAGCAGTATATCCATTGGCATAACAATGGTACATCAAGAAGACTACAGTAAATGGAATGACATCAAGAACATTAATGAAAAAAAATCGATTCTGCTAGTATTCACCTATACGTCATGAAATAGCTGCCCAAATAAACATACTGGGATGTCTAGGATGCTGTATGAGGCTATGGGAAGCTACTATTGTGAAAACTGATTGAAACATCATACATGTTCTTATCACTAAAAAAATTCACATCATTTCACAACACATTCTGTTTTAGTCTATGTTCATTTGCATTTCCGGACACAACATGAATGCAGAAGCTAGCTTAAGCTAAATATTCAGCCTTTTAGAGGACAAATATATCACTATTGGTCATAAATGATCTACATCAAGATCACATAATATAGGAGGTAAATTAAAAAAACTTCAAAAATTTATTTATAATTAAAATGAATTTACCAAAGGGAAATTTCATCAGTAAGCCAACCTTTCACTAAGCTGACACTCCTCTCCACTTCGTGGTGTTTTTGATTGTGTTTATACTCACAAAAATTGCTAACTTTACATTTGTCACCTTTCATCTTCTTTGGATTTTACTTATCCGAAAACTCTTGAAGGTTGAAAGCCGCTTACCACAGGGATTCTTTGAAAGTGTTTTGCGACGCATTGCTCCCTGAGCACCAGCTCCTCCTCAGTGTGTGGTCACATACTTATCCACACATCATGTGAACTTACAGACCTGGGCAACAGGGGAGAGACCATCCCAGGAAGTAACCAAGCTACTTCTTCCAGGCAAAGCGCAACATCCCATTTACACATAATTATCATAGAAATTAGAAAACTTTGTATGGGTTATTAGGGTCACATAACTTGGTAGATACAGGTTACCTCTTCTGATTTTCAAGTGAACGCCACTCTTTAGAAAAGCATCTGTTAGGCCAGACTCCAGCGTTGTCAGTTGTAGCATACTGTGCACAAGAAATTCAAATAAATTTTATGAAGATTTTGGCAATAAGGTGCCTAACAACAGATATGACTTGTGAAACACAATCCTATTACATTATTACATAAATTGATCCTTGGTTTACCCAGACCTTCAAATGTTTGGCATGCATTTACAATTGTTATTTTGCTTGAAATAAATATATTCTGATTTCTTTACTTAGTTCCACATGGTAAAATGAATCCTTCAATTTACAGTTATTTTCGTAATTGAAAAATGCTTCTTCCTCTCTGGTTATAATATCACAACCATGAGCAAAGTCATCTAAATGAATTAGGGGAAGATTACCCCCTTAAAGTCAAGAGCTTTGGTGTAACACATTTTTTAAGAATATTGGGTTTGGCAGTTCCTGGTTTTTCCAGGGAAGACAATGCAAAGAGTTGGTAACTTTTTCTTCACAAAAGTTAGTTTGGGAACATAGGCAGAAAAGGTGGAACTTCATAAGGGTATTTCTTCCCTCTACCTGATAATATTGGTGCCATGGAAGAGTATTCTTTGAGCCATGCTGTCAAGAATATTGAAAATGAAGTCTGATTATATAATTTATTTCATACTGCTTTATTCTATACTTTAATTTGATTTTCTCTTGAAAATATATCAAGAATTATGAATTTGTGTTTTAGGTAGATACGTACTTATTGTTTTAGGCTATTGGCCATTTCGCCTCAAATCTAAACAGATCTCAATAGACATCTTTTCAATACCCAAGAAAACCTATCTGTCCAGACTTTACTTTGGTTACAGATATCTGGGGGAAAAATAACCCTCTTCAAAAAACAAACAAACCCCCAAAACAGCATTAACAGTAAGTTCTTTCATTCCGATTTCCACCTTTCCCTACTAAAGTGATATATGTTGTCTATCTTTTTTGTAAATTATATCCTGGAAAATTTGAACAAACAATGAATACAATATCCAAGCTGTTGAGCTCCAGGGAATTTTCCCTTCAGATTTTAAGTTTCTATGACTTTGCACCTGAAAGCCAGAAAGGGGGAACCATGTGGATATTGAAAGAAGTGTGTGGGTAGTTGCTGCCACAGAGGCCCACACAGGCCTCCATTAGGACTGGTCAGTTTGTCTCAATGGCCAACACTATCAACACCAGATTAACATGTTACCTAGTTAGAGGAGTGACAAAATTGAAGGAACATCCTCAAATGCTACTATCTGTATAAACCACTCTTTCTGGAAAAAAAAAAAGGAAAATGAGACATTCAAGAGAGATTCATCAACAGCATAAGCCCAAATAACCAAAATCTCTCAGGTTTTACTGCTGCATCCCTGGTGGTCCAAAAAGGAGGGAATAAAAAGGATCATGATTTTAAAAAGTGAGAAAACTACGGGTCCCACCTGTGCTCACTTGGGGAGTGAATATTATAATGGCAGTAAGTCATTTTGAGAGTCAGTTTGAATCATCAAATCCCTACCTTCCATAACTCCTTGTAACAGACCAACCCTGGTTCTAGCCTCAGGCCTCCCCATTCTTGGGAATCTTAGAAGAGCAAGTCATGCAGGGGAAACTTCCGTTATCCCTGGCCACTGGATGTGGAACTGACTCATAGTCCCCAATGTCAAATTCGATGGGTCCCAGCACGAGTTTTGAACTCCTAAATCTTCCTAAGTTTACCTGGGTCATCCCAATCAGAGCAAAGATCTGGCCCACATGGGGACTGCCCAGGTAGTTTCTAACCTCTCATTTGGTAGGGGATCTGTCTAGGCTATTGCCTTGAGTTCTGCTATGTAGATTGCCCAGCCATCTGTCATGGTGCTCTGGCTCCTTGAGAAAATGAAAGTCCTCTGCTTCCAACCAGTTTGACTTGTCTTCCTCTGTCCTGCCCTAATTCTGCAGGACCAGGAAAAGGTCTATTGTATTCAGCTTTTTCACTGCTATGACTAAAAGTACCTAACAAGAACAATTTTAGAGAAGGAAAATTTTGTGGGGGGGGGCGGGGCTCACCATTTCAGAGGTCTTAGTCCATAGACAGCAGGCTCCATTCTTCCAGGTGCACGATGAGGTATAACATCATAATGGAAGAGTGAGGTGGAGGGAAGTGGATCACAGGATGATCAGGAAGCAGAGAGAGACTCCACTGTCCTGGATATAAAATATATATCCCAAAGTCATGCCCCCAAAGGCCCACCACGTCGAGCTACACAGCACCTGTGTAGCCACTCAGTTAGTACCATCTGGGGATTAATTCACTTACTGATCTAAAACCCTCAGAACCCAATAATTTCTCCTCTAAACCTTCTTGAATAGACCGACACAATGTCCCAGCTTACCACACTTCCTTGACCTTCCAATTGCCACCACCATCCATGGACAGGCTATTGTCACTGGTACTGCCTAATGTGAAGAAAGGAGCAAAATATGGAGAGCAGGGAGAAAGAAGGAAGAAAGGAAGGAAAGAAAGAAGGAAGGAAAATGAGCATTGATGGAATTGTCTTCTTTTGGCCATCATTTCAATTGCAGCGTACCTTGAATTTTGTAATAGTACACATCTAAAATTACTGTGAGTTTGAGCCCTTGTAGATCATCTCTGTGCTTTGAAATTGTTAATGTTTCAACTTGGAATAATTACTAGATTCTTCTCACAAATTTTGGGATAATTCGGTTCCATGGAGTCCAGGAAAACTGATAACTGCAGGGAGGGGAAACAATATGTGCATTGAACCAGAACAAGGACCATTAGCTGTGTTCGGATGATACCATACTGTGGGTAGCAGCTCTACCAAAATCCCAGGTTGGGAGTGTGGGTATTTACTGCACGGAGGGAAGGAGTAGACGTAAGATCTCTTTTCATAAGGAAAGGATTGTGTCCTTCTCAGCCTTCATTCCATTTCTCCAGATTCATTCCAATAATATCCTGAAAGGGGTCCTGGTCTTAATTTTCAACAAACTGCAATGCCTCAAACGAATTAAAGGTACAATACAATTTCTTAAGAAACAAATAACAATACCTGACACTTGTCTCCTTAGGTTACTAGAATATACTATTTTATTGATTCCGAAACTGTTTATTAAACATACACTAAATTCTAAATACTTTGAATATGGCTTGGCTTCAAGATGACTCAAATGACATATATCCCATAAAATCTCAGTGTATCATGATGAGCCATTGCAAATTAACACATCAGTGATAAAATACACACATCATCTGCGTCCACATAGAGGAAAAAAGAAATCAATAAGAAGAGAAAATCCAGAAATGACAGGCAAGTGGCACTAACAGACTGGAGAGCAGGAAAACAGCAAAGAGGCACTGTTAAGCCTAAGGTCACATGGAGCAACAAGCGCGATTAGAGAACCAAGCCAGAAGCCACAACAAGGAAGGTAGAGTCAAGGGCTAAGGCATGGGAATGGAATTCACTAAAGTGGACAGGGCCAGGGAGGAAAACGGAGGTGGTAGAAACACTAGAACAAAGTCTCCAGGACAAAGAATACTACAAATATAAGGATTCAGTGTACAGAACCAAGGACCCAAGGAGAGCAAGGGAAAAAAAAGAGGCACAGAAAGGGGGCAAAACCAAGGGTCTGATCAAGAAACAAGAAAAGGGTACACCAGAAGAAAAGCTGGGGCTCAAGCAAAGAGCCAGGAAAAGGAAAAGCAAGCCACAAGAGAGGGCAGGGAAGAAGTTCAAGAAAACACACAGGGATAGGGAAAGAAGAGAGAGGAGACAAGGGCAGAGGGGGAGGTAAGATAAAGGCCTGGATCTGCTGCTGGGAGCCAGAATTCGGCACAAGGGCCTTGGATGAAGGAGGAAAAAGAAAGCATGAAGGAGGAAAAGATGTTAGGGCCCATGGAAGCCAAAACGACCAAAAGGCCAAGCCTACAGGCCTGAGCAGAGAAGCAATCAGGAAAAGAAATCAGAAAAAGGAGTCAATCAGAAATAGAAACTAAAAGGTCCATGGAGATAAGGCAAAGGGTGGAGATGCACTATGGAAAGATGGGTAGAGGAGGGATGTGGGGCTGGCACCCCAACAAGGAGCTCACCCTAGGGATGTAGAGAAAAACCAACACAAGGGCAAAGCAAAAAAAAGCCGGGCTGGTGACGCAAGGACAGGGCAGTGCAGACAAGCCAAGAGGAGCAGGAGAACTGCCCAAGCAAGGGCGCCGCTTTCAAAGCCTACAGGCTCAGATAAGCCACAAGAACCTGCAAAGGTTCAAACCAGGAGCCAGACCTGGGCAGGGCAGAACAGAGCCAGAGGCAAAGGGCCGGTGAAGCAGTATCAAGAGTGTAGACAGGGCTTGGGAGGGAAGGGAGTTAGTGCCATTAGTGAGGGAGGGGGCTCGAGG